ATGTATCACAAATGCAGCTATGAAGACGCGTAGTAAATGAATATGTGTTAAAGTCATCATGTTTTATGATAAGTTTAGGGGCTGGAGAGCTCGCTTGGCGGGGGGGGGGGGGCAATTGCTTTGCAAGCAGCAGGGCCTGGGTTTGACCCCCAGATTTCAAACCATAAAAGCCCAGTGTAGTGACATCTTGTATTTGAGCCCTGGAGAGGTAGAGACAGAGACATTCCTAGGATTCCTTGGCCAGCGAAGCCTTGCCTCTTTGGCAAGTTGCAGGTCAGAAGAGACCTTTTCTCAAATAAAAAATAAAAGTGCTGGTGCCTAAGAAACCACACCAAAGCTTGCCCGGCACTTATAGGCACAGGTGCCCACAGGCCCACCTGTAAGCACACTCCGCTATAAAGAGATGCTAAAATTCAAAACTGAAACAAGCTTGCTAACTTCCTGTCAGACTGGAGGGGCTTGCTTCTTCTGTACAAACTTTCTAATGCTCAGTTATGTTTTATGCAGAAAAAAATGAACTGCTGATTTTTTTCAGTAGATTACATACTGGAAAAGAAATAAACTTAAATAAATGTAAGTTCATTACATCATACAGTTACCTCATTAGTTTTGCTCTAGACACAGACATGACCAATACCAAAAAAAAAAAAAAAAAAAAAAACAACGAGGAATCAGAATTGGCATTCTTATGCATTTTAATGGAGCAGTTATATAGGGTACATTTTACATTCACTGGTTGTGATTTAGGTCATTAACTCTCTAATTTTTCTCATATGAAAATGATGACAAAATCTTTTTCAAAAGGTTCTTGGAAAACTAAGGCACTTTAAAGCCCTCATCACAGGACCTGAGATTTAAAGACAGAGCTACTCCATTTCTGCATTGGGAGCAGTGAAATCAATCTGTGCACAGCATGTACGGGCCCTCCAGCTCACATTTCTGTTGTATTTTCAGCCTGCTAGATGCTGCAACTGCCTCAATATTGACTTTTCCTAAGACAACTATGTCACCCAAATCAAAGTAGTCCCAAGTCCTCCAATTCTCTGACATTATAGAAAGCAGGCATTTTTCATTAATCCATTAAATTAGCATCCTAAAAATAGTTGTAATGTGGGCAATCAATCTTAATGGATAATGAACGAGCAAGTGGACAGACAACTCAACAAATTTTTAAATAAAACATGCTAACACAATCCAATTATATGAAAACTTGTTATCTACCTGCTCAGGAATGAGGCTATGATTGTAGTCTTGTCTCCTAAACCACTGTTTCTCTAGGAGCACAAAACAGCAGTTCTTAAACCTACAAGTGTCTCAGGTGCTTTACATAGGGTTCACTCAAACTGGGGTGCCAAGGCGGCATATTCATGTTAAATAAAATGGATTTGGCTAGAACTTCCAAGAACTTATGAAATGTTCCTAAATGTACCTCTATTATTTCCTACGATGCATTCATGACAACTGGCAGTCTCAGCACTGATTATATAAGAAATGTATGGATCGACTCCAAAAGTATTGAAGATGGGTACTTGCCATCCACAAATATGTGATCCCTTACGTCAAATTAAACACATCTACTACATTCATCAGTAAACTTGCTTTCATCTTTAAATTATATATACACCAAAAATTGTTTAACAATAAAGGTATTAGTAGATGTTTGACTTACATCCTAATCTCTACATGTACAGTAAACATATAGGAAGCAGTCTAGGAATCTGTTTCAAAGACTATACAATCAAAGTGCCGAATCTTGTTCACAGGACAGGGATTAAAGCGCTGAACCAATGCTAAGGAAACTATTCTGCTAAGGATTTTTTTTTAACCTAAGCTGAAATGCAGCTAATTTTCGAGATAAGATCTTGGTATGTTGCTGAGGTTAGGCTAGAACTCATCATCCTCCTGCCTCAGCCTTCTGAAGGCTGGATTAGCGGTTCTTTTTAGTCATGTATTTGAGTTCTGCACTTTAGGTGGTTTTCATTGCTGAAGAACTCATTTTAGTGGCAAATATGTCACTAAAATTGTAGGCCAATTCAAATAAAATGTCAAAACAAGTACTTTCTACTCTTATGATAAAAATAAAACTTGGCAAAAATTTTTCCACAGGACTAAGATAGATGCAAAAAAATTTAAGATACCTATTATACTAGACAGCATGACGTCTTGGGCAGCAATTAATTTCTTGGCCTGAATTAGATCTTACAGTAGTGGTTCTCAGTCTTCCTACTGCAGCGACACTTTAACGTGGTTCCTCGTGTTGTACTGACTCCCAGCCATAAAATTACTTTCTTTGCTACTTCATAACTATAAACTTGCTACTGTTATGAATTGTAATGCAAATATCTGTGTTTTCTGCAAGTCCTAGGTGACCCCTGTGAAAGGGCCACTCAACTCCCAAAGGGGCCATGACCCTTTGCTGAACAGTACAGGACTCTGGCTTATAGTTTGTTAATGCTTGCTTGCACTAAAAATAGAATAATATAAACAACTTTTAGTAAATTAAATCAGAACATCCCAGTACTTTTTTTTTAAAAAAGTAACAGCTCTACAAGACTGATGTGGGAAGACCTCACTGAGGCCCCAACCTCAAACAAAAAGAACACTCCAGGAGTCCAGTACACGTCAATGTGAAATAAATTATTTCTCCTTCCAAGTCAGCTTCTCTTACCTCCTGTTTGAACTGTTGCTTCATCCTAGCACTAGGAGAATCTGAAATTTATCTTTAGAGTCTACTTTTTTAACTCTGAAAATCCTGCAGCCCAGGTCACATCCTTCCATCCCGACTGTAAGCTGCGCTGCATGGTCACGGCTTTCATGCCTCTCCTTTCTTTACTACAAACCCTTCTGAGCAGTCTTCCTGTTTACACTCTTGCCTCTTCCTGTCCGTCCCAGATGGAGCTGAGCGGTGGCTATTTGTAAAACAGTTCACTTCCATCTGTCTGCTTGGCTCCCTTTCTGGTGGATCCAGACTCCTTCCTGGGACACATCTATGCTGAGCACACCTGCCCGCCCTTCAGTTGCCCCACGTCTCAAGGTCTCAAGTTTCCTCTCTCTCTCTCTCTCTCTCTCTCTCTCTCTCTCTCTCTCTCTCTCTCTCTCTCTGTTTTTTCAAGACAGGGTTATTCTGTGGCTTTGGAGCCTGTCCTGGAACTAGCTCTTGTAGACCAGGTCAGTCTCGAACTCACAGAGATCCGCCTACCTCTGCCTCGCGAGTGCTGGGATTAAAGGTGTGCATCACCACATCTAAGGTTAAGGTGCTCCTGTTTGTCCTAATGACCAGCAGGCAAAATTTCCCAAAACTTAAGTTCCACTCTGAATTTTAGAAAAATCAATGATAATTAATAGAGTTTTAAATTCAACTTGCTTTTATCTTTATTTTTGTATTGCTCCTATGGTATAGTATGAATTATACTTTGGACAGAAACATAAAATGTGAATTTAAAAAAAGGAGGAGTCTGTGGGTGGTGGTGGTGTACGCCTTTGATCCTAGCACTCAGGAGGTAGGAGGATCTCTTGAGTTCAAGTCCAGCTTGGTCTAGAGAGTAAGTCCCGGGACATCCAGGGCTACAAAAAGTAACCCTGTCTCAAAAATAAATAAATAAATTAATTAATTAAAAAACTAAGTGTTACATTTCCTATATACTTTATATACATAAAAACTGGCATTTCCTTAAAGGTCTTAAAGCCACATCAGAATATTCTGTTGAACTTAAATCTGGAAACCCAGTCTGACTTTCTAATTCTGCTTGGAAAGGCTATCTCTGACATTTGTAACAGATTTTATTTCACACAGTAATCACCTGTAGACGCTGCAACAAGCTGGGGCTGGCTCCGAGCAAAGCATTGGATTCAAGGTTCTAACAAGTCTGCAACAAGTAAGCTCGGAATCAACCTCTCATGCAAATACCAAGTTCCGAATCAGCTTCTTGGCCTGAAGCCTACAGCAACCACCCTAGTGACTTTTCTTTAAGTCACAGCCCCATCTATCCTTGAACTCAGAGACCCACCTGCCTCTGCCAACCTGCCAAGATTAAAAGCACAAGCTACCATGCCCAGCTTATCTCAGTAATTGGCAGAAAAGAAGGATTTCTCACCCACTTCCAGGGGTGAAAGGAGGTTTAATTGCCCTGGGCTGCAGCTTAGGCATTAAGGGCTCCCAAAGAAAAGCTACGGCCGTGCAATGTGAACTTTTGCTCTAAAAATGTACTCACAGGTTTATTAGACTTCATTTTAGTACTAGAGATATTACAGAGGTAATTTATGTCCTGAGATCAGGATTCATTACCAACCAGGCCCTAAATTTAAGACTGTAATGACTTCCTCTCTGTACTCCTATTAAGTTATTTTACAAGTCTTAATATTAAAGCTAATTATTAAGATGAAATGACAACCTGAGTTATTTTTAGAAGGTAGATATAGATCATGATCCTACCAGTTCTTAGCATCATAGGAAAAATCTAAACAAGTTAACAAGTTTATTGAACTTATTATAACCCCAAACATGTTATACCACAAAGCCCACAGATTAACAATAACTTTATATGATGTAGGCATCGCTGATCCAGACTGCAGAAAGAATTCCTAATCACGTGCTAAACTGAGCTTTGTCAAAGATGAAGTCGCAATTCCCTATCTCTGAAGCTCCCAATCTAAGGCACACACATATATAGTAAAAACAGTCTTAGTGGTAATCTGCATAAATTCTGTATCTACAGTTAGAAGGGCTAGACTACAACTTCCACGTAGTTATCCAAGGTACTCAACTCCCTGAACATACTTTTTCTCATGGATGACATGGACCAGTATGAATGAGAGAGCACACACTAACGCCACAGGCACCACGTAAAGTGTAACGCTGGCCAAGTCACAGTAAATAAAGCTCTCGGCAAATGGAAGAACGTGGCAGGGTTTCAGTGTAAAGAGCTGAAGTCCAGGTTGGAGAGGTGCCCAGAGATGCAGAAGTGAACCACAGGCTCTCATCTCAGCTTTAAGGTCCTGAGACTATGTTGGGAACCCTTGGTAGAGCAGACCTCCACTGCCTGAAAATAAATGTTTGTCTGCAAAAAATATGATTAGAACAAACACAGAGCAACAAGAGTTTTAGAAACGACTAGTTCAACAAACCTCGAAAAGAAAATAGTATCTCAGACTTGGCTTTATTTACGGTTTGGCTACCACTTAAGTAGTAAATGTAGTCAAATTTTGAAAAATAAACTAGAAAGAAGTGAGAAAAGGATCATTAAATGAAATGAAAAACTGTCATTTAGAATCAAACCCAAATGATAGTAATCAGAAAACACAATGCTTGGATGTTCTAGAATCAAACCCAAACGATAGTAATCAGAAAACACAATGCTTGGATGTTCTTTTCTTTTGGTTTATTTAATTTGAATACATGTCCTAATGTGACCAACACACAGGAAATCCCAGCCCGATCAACAAGTGCGGCTCTTGCACCTGTCAAGCGATGATGAGAAGTAACGGAGCAGAAGCAACTATTAAATGTCAGTCTTAATCCTCTTCAGAACTGGAATCATCCTCCTGGTCAGAGAGTTCCGGCACAGGGAAGCGGAGAATGGCAGCTACTCCTGTCAGCTGGCCAAGCTGTTCCCCAGACACATGGAGACTGGAGAATATCCGAACCGTGCCTGCATTGTCTTTCACGCTGTCCACCAGCCTGACGTACCGGCTGCGGGTGGCCACGTCCTGATGCCGGAAGAGCTCATCGCTGATGAGCAAGGTGTCGATCGCCAAGGCTTCGTTGGCCCTCTCTACCTGCTTGAGTCCATAGAAAGCGCGGTCAGGCTCGTGCTGCAACATTTTATAGAAGTCATCCAAGGCTTTCACTTCCCCAGCAGCTTTCGTGTCCGAAAGGCGGCTGGCTACGGTGGGGTCACAAAGGGCCTCCTTCAGGGAGTACTTGTGTCCAGAGGAGGCGTGTACCTAGAATCACAATGATGAAAGACAAAGAAATGTTGAAAGCATCCGTTAATCAGCCCACATGGCATAAGACAAAAGCATGAATAAGCCCTTACCTATTTAAGGACTTTAGCAAAGGTTACCTTAGGAAGGTGCTAGCCACTACACCCATCTCTTTGCTAATTCGATTTTCATCCCAGCTGAACCAAGTTTTAAGCCTTCTGCTCCTTCCAGTTCTAAAACAACAGGTACCAATCATAGCAATCCCTCTGCCCACTCTTAACTATCTCTGGGTAAGAATTTTACCTGAAGGAATTTGGAGCGGTTTTCCAGGAGCGTCTTGTTGTCTGTCTTCACGGCCTGTTGAAACATGTAGTCACAGAACTGCTCTCGTACAAATCCCGGGCTGGCCACCAGAACACACTTTACAACGTCAAAGTTGATGTGGCGCTGGATGGCCTGGACCACCTGTTCATAGAACCTCTCCAGGGCCCGGTCATGCTGGGAACAGTTGCCTTTCCGCTTCCTGGGGATGTTCACCTCCACCTTGGCACGGGTGAGGGTCATACTGGGTGTGACTAGGCAGACGTGGGCGAGGCCCTCCTGCATGACAACAGCTGCCACATCAGCACTCCAGGCTGGGTCACAAGCCTGCTCGATGCGCTCCAGAACCACACTGTCCCACTGTTTCTTGGCCAGGGTGAACTGGCGGTTGGGCTCCAGTTCAATGGTGTGGTAAGCCCCCATCTTCACGTACTCATTCTCTTGGATATTGGTCCCCTTGACTCGCAGCTGGCAGGCTTGGGAGTCAAAGTCTATGGCCTCCACGCAAAGGGTGAGGGTGGTGCGGACACGGTTACTCCCCACGCTGCCCGTGGAGGACTCGGTCTGGACCTTGCGGATGGTGGAGGCGCGCAGGCTGTCGCCCACCTGCACTAGATTGTAGGTGTGCCACATGTCCTCGGGCTCCTCGGGGACCAGGGTGACCTGTCCCGCACTGTCCTTCTCGATGTCCTTCCTCACAAGCTTCATGATCTTGCCTGGGGCTCACTTCAGAACGGGAGGTGCTGAGGGGGTCCCCAGGAGAGACTCAGGGTGCGGGGCGGGGGTATGGTCTAGGCTGGGAAGGGGACAGGAAAAAAACACTACCGCTGACTCCTGCAGCCCAGGACAGAGCTTTCTGCCACGCTTTTCCCTGTCTCCACGCGCCGATCCACGCTGCGCGGCAGATTTCCCCCACGATGAACACACACGACCCGGTACTTTCAGTCACCGGCCCCGCGCAAGCGGCTGACGCGGCGATCGCGCATGCGCAGCCCGCCTTTCGGCGCACGTCTGTCGTCCCGACCAGAGAGGCGGGGCCTGGGGTTTGCGCGTTTACGCAGGCGCAGTAGACGGAAAGGCGCACCCTCCGAAAGTCAAGGGAGGCGCTTAGCGGCTCTGGCTGCCACTCTTACAGTGAAGCTGAGCTCGGATTTGTAGAGTTTTCCCACGCATTCCTGTGTCCGAGAAATTGCGGAGCATGTGAGTGCTAGCATATGTATTTAAACTGAGTTTGTCATTTTGCACCTCCTTCCTTGATAGGGAGCCGGCTTCAAAACTTACGTAAAAGTGAAAAGCCTCCTCAAAAGTGCACTTAGTTCCCAAAGTCCAAACTCTACCCGATCTTGCTCATTCCTTTCCCGCGCTCAGACGTGACGCATGCTACTTGGCACTGGGATTTCCAGAAGCAGTTTCTAAGAACTAGTCGTGTTCGGTCTGGCCTCAGCCACATGCCCAGCTGTTTTCGGCGCCTAGTGACCCTGTTTGCACGATTCAGTTAACCCAGATGTTAAGGGACAGAGCCCAGAGAAAGCAGAAACTATGCGTGGAATGTACCCCTGGTGGACCTCTATGTGGCTTGACCTGATATCCTGGGAATCCCAGAATCCCAGAATTGGCAGGCAGTAGTCTCTGAGGCGCTCAGTGTGGGAGCTGGGCTGTGATAGATAAGCACTGATCTCCCCTGCCAACGACTGGGCAAAAGCTGAGGCTATGGGAAGTTGAGATAAACCGATCTACTAATTATGACCACCCCTAAAGAAGAAGCCACAGAATTGGTTGTAAAGAAAAAAAAAACTTTTTATATTCCCCCTTTCCCTGCTCTTGGTGATGGAAATGCCTCTTTCTTGAGACATTGGGAAGCAGAGAAGTCGGGAATATACTCTCACTGCGTTTTGTGTAAGGATCTTAAAAGCAGAGCTCTCCAGCCTTAATTGAGGAGACGAGGTTAAAGGGGGGGATGCATTTATGTTAGCTGATGTCAGCTCTCTTTTTTAGAGGTTACCAGGGAGGGGTGCGGGTTGGCCCTTCCAAGATTCCAGTTTAAGTTAGCACCTTTACTTGTTTTGTATCCTGTCTCTGTCTCCCCGTCTCTGTTCTGTCTATCTCTCATTCCTATTTTCCCCTTTCCATCTTCCTGTCACAGAGTCCCTAAGTCATCTTGCCTTCCTCCTCCAAAGCCCCCAGCCCTTCACAAGACACTGGACCCATTAGATCCAGAAAGTGGCTTCATAGGCTCCTAATGAATGAATGGATTTCATTGACCTGCAATCAAGTTTTGAAAACTTGGCGAGCACTTTCCCACACTTTTCTTATCTTTTCATATGACGAAAATGCTACCCTAATTTTTAGAAAGGTAAATGAAACTATGGGGAAGTTGACAAATACCTTCAAGAGACTATAACTGGCCTTCAGATTCAGGCCTAATTAACTTCACACCCTGTTCCACCAACCACCTATCTGTCTTTTATATATCTAACCATCTGCGCACACATACGTTACATACTGTTATCCCCCACTACCTTCCTTAGCTGACACCTTTACCAGTTCACTATGGACAGTCTGGAAATCACTGGAAGGACTGAAATGCATTGCTGCCCCCACCCCACCTCAGCATTTGTTAAATCTTATACTCATTATAGTCTTTGCACACAGTTTTATATCTACTCAGTCAGTCATTGTTATTTTTGAGAAATCTTTAAAAAACATGAGTGCATTTATTTCTAATTTGACACACAGAAACCCTATAACAACTTTACTTCCTATTTCCTGATTCCTCTAAGTGGTAAGGCAGACATCTTTGAACTGATTATTTTTTTTTTTCAAGGTGGAGTCTCATGTAGAAGAAGATGGCCTCTAACTGGGTATATAGTAAAGGATGACCTTGAATTTCTGATCTTCCTGCCTTCACCCCTGAATGTGGGGATTAGCGGCCTGCCCCAGCTATATTCCCAGGCTTTTATGAGGCTCAAACATGGGGCTATGGAAGAGTTCTGCCTACTGAGCTAGATCCCCAGCCCTAGACTACCTTTTAAAATGTCATAAAATGTCAGTGTCCTTGGTGGTTGAGCACATCACAGTATTTCTTAAAGACGTAGTTTGGTCTGAAACACATTCTGCAAGAGCTAGAATGGCTAGGAACTTTCTGTTTGTTTTTGTTTTCTTACTTGAACTTAGTGTTGAGTGATCAGATACCCCCTCCAGTATTTTATGTTACCCTTAGTACATTTTAAAATGAATAATGATACCATTCTTTTAAGTTATTTGGGGTCCCAATTCCTAATTTCAATCACAAGTCCTTTTCAAGGTGAAGTGCTCTGTCTGTAAATATTGCACTCTCGTTTCGAGGCACATTTTGTTTTGCAAGGAGAAAAACCTTCATTTCCAGTGTGTCCTAGGAATCTTTATACCGTACCTGTTCATCCTGTGGTCAGTACTTCCTGTCTCATGTGGTTTCATGTACCTATCTGGAAGGAGCAGCTGAAATAGCTCATCCTAAAACCACATCCATTTCAATTTGATCACATGATCTGGCCTTTTTGAACTCTGAACCGAGGATGTTTTCTTTCGTGTATCCTTCCATGGTCCTGGCAAAGTCCTTTGTCTGCACTGTCATGTGCAATGGTAAGCTAGTCAGGGGTAAAGTGTGACAGCCATACTAACGTTCCAGATGCGCTTTAACACTCCGATATCGTTATCAAATGTATTTCATTTCACATAAACATGACTGTCAGAAACTACTATGGTTATAGGTGGTTTTATTTCCATTTTTTTTTTACCAAAGAATCAAAACCTCAAGGAAAAAAAGACCATGATGTAGTCTCGCTGCTTGAAGCTGTCATTTGTGCTTATTGACTTTTGAAAACAGAAACCTTCACATGAATATTTCTAATTACATCTCATTTTCCCATCATGTTCATATTAATCTTTCCAGAAGAAAAAAGTCACGATGGCGCCATCAAACAACTTGAGTCTGTTGTTTCTGGGCGGATTGGGCTGGATGTCCAGAGAGCTAAAGCTCTCTGCCCTTCATTTATTTCCACTGTGACATTTGGCCCCCTCAGTCTACTGGAAACTCAATTTCTTCTACATGAAGACTGAGGGAACTGAAGTCAGTTGTTTCAGCTACAGTTGTAAAGGTTATGCTGGGTCAACTTAAGGAAACTAACACCAATGATATTTGTTTTCAATCTCGTACACTCGCTTAAATCCGACTCTTTCTGAAACCCAATTTAGTGATTTGGGGTTGAGGGGTTGTGCACCAAGAAATGGTGTGAACTGGGCCCACGAGACCGTGAGATGGTTCTAAAGGTACCCACTGCCAAACCTGAGTTGGGTGTCCAGGCAGGAGAGAAATGACTATGGGTAGTTGTCCTCTAACCTCCACGTCCACTCTGTGGCACACTGGAGCTCCCCCATACATATACACACAAAATACATAGATGACAAACAGGTCTAAAAGCACAAAGATTGGTAGACTTGGGAGGCATTTTTAAGCTGGAGTTTGCCAATGTTAGTCTATAGGCATTTCTGGGTTTTTTTTTTCACTTTATATTAAAAACAGATTGTTCCTCTTCTCATATTGACAGTCTTGATGCTCTAACAGGAAAATGCTCGCTGGTCGATTTGTAGCGTTCTGTAAACAAGGCACTCTGGTAAATCTCTAAGAATGCTTAGCTCGAAGCTAGAAATCAGGTTCCCACGGAAGTAAGTGTAAGGATGAATCTGAACAGGATCGCTTCAGGAGTTAACTGTCATGGGAGTATTCCCTGTCCGGGTTGTGTGCAGTTATGTACCGCAGCACATTTCCTAGCTGTGCTAGCGAATGCAGTGCTCCATGTGCCTCCTTGTTTGCTGAGCGGGGACAGTTCCTGTTAAAATAATATGCAAGGAATGGATTGTATGACGGCAACAAGGATTCTAGGCTCTTGAAGGGTGAATATTGTGCTTAAAGACCTTGTGCAGAGGCAGGCGGATCTCTGTGAGTTCGAGATCAGCCTGGTCTACAAGAGCTAGTTCCAGGACAGGCTCCAAAGCTACAGAGAAACCCTGTCTTGAAAAAAGAAAGACTTTGTGCCTAGCACTCATTCCTTTTTATTTATATAGATTTGTGGGAGGAGGTGTTGTTTGTGGTTTTGTTTCCCTTTCTGGTAAAACTTACTTTGCTAAAGCCCCCCCCCCCCAGGAGTATATCCCAACATTACCTCTCTGTGCCTATTGTGTCTTCCAGACCACTGAAGGGCACAGCCCACCTTCTTTATTCCCCAGCGCAAGTAGTGAACTTGTATTGATAAACTTTCCTGGCATACACAAAAAAGTGAGTGACTGTTCCCTAATTTAGAGTTTTTAACTTGACCATCATTGAAATCTTAAATGTAAGAAATTGATTTGCATTTGATGCTGTATCTAATAACATACATAAGACTACACTTAGGGCAAACATCTATAAACCTATTTCAGTTTTACAGATATCAGCACTGACATGGGAAAACAGTGATTTTAAAATGTGACCCTTACAGCACACATAAGCAGTGAGAGCTCTGGTTATGAATATCTGGGGACAAACGTTATTTTTTTCAAAAGAAAATATGCCAACTTTAGGCTGTACAAAGGTTCCTTGGTGACCTCTACAAGCAAAGTGTGTGACAGAGAGGGCTGTTCAGCTAATTATAGGGGAAAGGGGACAGGGAAAAGTGGAAAGTCCTTTTAAAAGAAATTTCTTATACTCACTATTTAAGGTTTCTTTTAACTACAAATGCTGACGTGGCAAAGTCAAATGTCTGGTGCCCACCCACCACCTACCCCACCATCACCCACTGCCACCTCAGTGTGCTAGTGTGTGCTAGTGTGTGCATGGGAATGTGTGTCTCTCTGTTTGTATGTGTCTGTGTAATACAGGAATAGTCTGCCAAAAATAGCATAACAAAATGTTTTTGCAGCTAAACGTCTATAGTTAGTGAAATAATTTTCAGAATACATTTAACTCGTATTAAGGCGGTGTCGGGAGTTCAGTCATCCTCAGCTACAGAGGAAGTCTCAGACTCATCTGCTCTACATGGGATCTCCTACACACAAAACGTAATTTATAATAAAATATGAAAACCATCTGAGTCTTCTGACCTAATGCAATTTAGATGCTCTATTAAAAATTAAGATTTGTCATTTATTTCAGCAGATC